GGTTGAAGGAGGGCTACGAGGACAAGATTCTGATTGCACACGACATCCACACCAAGAACCGTCTGACCAAGTATGGCGGTCATGGCTATTCTCACATCCTGAAGAACATTGTGCCGAAGATGCTGACAAGGGGCATCTCGCAGCCCCAGGTGGATAAGATCCTCATAGACAACCCGAAACGCTGGCTGACCTTCAAGTAAAGCAAAAAAAAAGAGCCGAGGCGGGCATTTTGATGTAACTATTAGTTTATCTTCAGATGATGACTGAACACCTCACAATGAAAGCTTCATGATCTTTGCAATAATCACAGCCCAAAGTGAATCATGAATCTGCCTTGACACTTAAACCAATAAGTTACATGGTTTCTTTAATGTCAATGTTCTCAAATTTTTCAACAAAGAATAATTTTTTTTATTACTTTGTCTTGCCAAAAAAATAATGAAGGGATGTTTTATAGAGATCCTTATTAATTAAAACGTCATTTTATGCTTGCGATTGCACATTATTCCCCTTGAAAGTATATTGTCTAAGGGGGGCCTTAAATAACTTGTAGTGACATTTCTGCAAACGCTTTATGGAATAAAAATAACCTGTTATAATCAGTATGCTTCTCTGCTCTCAACACAATGCAGCTGTGTTAGATGAGTTGTCCTGTTGCCCCTCAGTGGGTGTCTATGGAAGGCTGACTGACTGGCGACTCCAGATGAAGGACATGTTCTCCTCTCATCTGGGAACAGGTGGCCTCACAGGGTGACTTCACCACATGATCAATGGCATGATTGCCAAGGCTGACTGTGCACCCTGAGCAACTATATAACTTTGATTAATCTCCAAAGATGAGTGTAAAATGAGCCAGGTTTTGATTTTTAGTGTTTTTTTGTTGTTTTTTTTTTTAAACACATTTTAACTGACAGTCTGGAGGGACTTAACAATCCGCAGGCAGATCGATGAGTGTTGTCAAGCTCCAAGAAACAGATTTGTCAGTGTGACTGTTCAGTTTTGTGATGGTAACTAACTACCAAGTCGCCCTGTTGCCTCAAGCAGCTGTCATGTTGAGATGGACAACAAAAATGAGTTGTAGTGATCATTTTGTGAGTCTTTCAATGTAAATATGACAATGGCCTTTTACAGATTTTTCTTTTTAAGTTGCACAGTTAAAATATTTTTATAAGCATGCATTACTATGGATTCAAACATTGCCAGACAAAATGCAATGGATATCAGTTTTAAAATATAAAACACACACACGTATGGACTAAATGATTGTGTGAATGTCATAATTCAGTGCTAAAGGTCAATACATTGAACTTTTAATTCACTTAGTAGGCCTATGTGTTACTACAGCAGCTACCATACGTTTGACATATCAGCAAAGTAATTTTGTAAAACTAAAAAGTTTGTTCAGGGTGCAATAGCGACACAAACCAACCTGACAAGGGTACAGCTTGATGCTGTGCAAATTAAAATTCATTATTACTCTCCTGCAATTAAACTGTAAGCCCCGCGCTAGTGCAAAGCACAGTTCTTTCTTTTTTCGCATGACTTCCTCCACATCTTCCTGGACTCTTGCTAAATGGAAATGGTGAGCTCTGTCTCTAATAATCCAACTGGCATTGAGAATGAGCAGTGACGCAAGCTATGTGTAGAGCAGGTCTTCTTTAGCAGAGCTTTCAATCAGCGTACAACATGAAACCAGAGAAGGTGCTGTACTTGTTGTTGTTGCCCCCGTGCGCCTTCCCACCGTCCAGTTTAATGTAAATCTCATCTCCGGGCTCCAGGTGTAGGACAACACTGTTGCTGGCGTAGTCGTAATTCTGGTCGGCGTCTTGGGCAATGGCACTGGCTCGCACCTGGAAGGCAGATTTGACATTTCTGGTGTTGAAAGGTGTCTTTATTTTGAAATCAGAACCGCGGACAGCTCCATCACTGAGAACAAATCAGTTACTTTCACTTCAGCTTTAAAACGACCATCAAACTGCTATTTTTTTATTTCATATTGTATGAGAAATGTATTATTGGAGTGCCATTCTATGTAAAACCATACGTAAAACCTGTGCGTAAAAATGCAAAAACTAAAAGTTTGTCGTTTCACCGTGTATTCTAGACCAATTCCAAAGAATGAAGGTAAGAAATTAAAAGATTTTTACTCTATATAATCATGATCATATCATAAAGGGTCCCACCTGGTTGTTTTTACAGAGGTCAGCCCACATGCTGGTTCCGTCCCCGCCTCTCATCAGCACATGGTACACAAAAAAGTAAATTCCCGGTATCGAGCAGGTGAATTTCCCTGTAGAGGGGTCATAGTGGTTGCCAAGATTTGTGACTACGTCGTCGAATTTCAGCACTTCATATCCCTCATGCTGCTTCTTCAGTCCTGCATAAAACGCTATCTTTGGGATGGTGTTGTAAGTGGCAGCGCTGATAGCACCAGTTGGGCCAATTGCTCCGGGTGGACCGGGAGGGCCAGGAGCTCCTCTCTCCCCGGGAGGGCCAGCAGGTCCAGGTGGTCCGGGCTCGCCAACCGGACCCCTCGGACCCATCCTCCCGACACGCCCCGGCTCTCCTTGAGGACCTTGGATGAATGTAGGAAGCGACTGAACCAGGCGGTTGTCTTTGATCGGATTGGTTACCTTGGCCGTTGCGGTGGCTGTAGTCCCGTGGGAGTCGCACACCATCTGGCAGGATCCGAGCATCTCGTAGCGTGCAGGAGTCCCGGCGGTGTTCACCACGACCGGGATCAGAACCACCAACACCAGCACCAGCGCAACGCCACAAACACCAGTTGCGATCATCTGCGCTCTGCGGATTCGTGGTGTTCTCCGGAGTGAATGGTCTTCCAGCCTGCTTGTGGGCGAAATTTTCGCAGAGGGAAGAATCTGACCTGCTCTTGTATTTTGGAGACAAAATAGTCCTTTAAATGTTTATGCGCAGAAGTAACCATCCACAACTTTTACGCGCTGCAGTATCCGTCCAACGGCTTCATCTTTACTTTCCTGCCACAAGAAAAAAAAAGCAATAAAAAACAATCTGCGTTATGTGTTTGTGAAACACAAAGTCAGCTGCACAAGTTTCTGCCCACCACGATGCCACAGGAGAGAATGGGATAGAAATTAAGCGTTACCCTTTTCTGTGTTTGGAGAGTGAGGGGAGGGTGGAGGTGATGGATGGGATAGAATTCATGCATTTCTTTAATCAAAGGAGAGAAAGCGAACAACATACAAACACGGGTGCAACACTGAAGCTTTGAGACGTGACTACTTTATTTTATGCATTTGTTTGTGGAGTCAGCGAGCTACTTTGTATCATTTGGGTTTAACAGGGTGTGTGATACTTTTCCTATTGATTCTTGTAACATGACATGTTGTTAGCAGGTCTTGAGCATGATTAGCCAATTAAAGACAAAACGTTATATTAGTTTGGCACCAACTCCTACCTTAGTGGCGCCTGTGTCCAATTTATCATTTGGAGAAAATCTATAGAGCCACTCACTGAAAGGAGTGTGTCACTAGGAGCTGGCAGTGAGGAATGATTTCACATAGATATACTGATGAAATAAGTGGAAGCTGGGGCGTTTAGAGAAAAAATAGGGTGAAATCATTTATTTACCAGTGTGAAAAATCACCATTAGCTCATTTAATCTGAAATCTCTCTTTTAAAAAAAATCCCAGTTGTTGGATGTAATATTGTAGTAGTAGCCAAAAAAGTGATAGTTTATGTAACATTTACAATATTTACATTTTTAAAAATCCAAACATTTCACATCGACTTATAAGAATTAAAAGAAATTGTCCTTTCCAGACAAAACTTCACCACTGTGGCTTTTAGTGAGGTCTGAGTGATGAAGGGCTAATTCCTGGTGAGGAGGGCAGATGATGATGTGCTCATGAATACACAGGGTGTCATGAACGCAAGAGGGCCTCAGTTTGTATCGATGGCACCTAAAATCCAGGTGGAGAGATAGATGAACAGGAGGGGAAAAACACAGATAGCCTTGTTTGGGAGGCACTGATTACAGCCTGAATGAGATTCTGTGGAAAATGTGTTTGTTGAATCATGATCTCACAAAGTGGCATACAGAACAGATGACACTCTTAAAAAGATATGGCCATAAGATTACACCAAATACTGAGAATTTATATTTTCACTACAAGTACTAAAGGTGTTATTCTGCCACAGAAAAAAGTTAATTAAAATTGTTTCAATGATAATTTAATAAACACACACACTCAGGTTTTATAGCCACAAACTTATTGCATTTACATCTGAATGAATCTTATCTGCCTTCTTATGAACTTATCATATGAACTTTAGTTATTTAACTTTTTAAAATTCATTTATCCAGTTTGAACACGCCAGTATTAACTGTAAGGACAGAAAGAGAAAACAATACAATTACATAACTGGAGACTCCCCATGTTCATTAAAGTGTACTTAGGCTTAGTCTTAATGCCAATGACACAGTAAGCCTATATATGGTATAAGAGACACCAAAGCAAAGGTGAATTGGGGTGAGGGGTTGTGTTAGGGAGCTGGATATATGTAATTATGACTTGGCACTGTGGCTTGACTAGACAGCACTCAGAGAGGACAGACCTCCGCCAAGGCAGAACAGTTTCCCTATAGTGCCATTACACCTAAAAATAATATTCCCATGTTAGTTGGACCCACATAATATAGTTCCTTGACCATGAAAATCTATCCCTAGCACTTGGAATCACATTGATATCATTATTAGTTTGAAAGCTATTCAAGAAAAATGATGTATATTTGAGCGATTACTAAATGCAGCGAATGGCTGAATAAATGTCTCATGCAGATACAGTCCTTCACAGAAGGACACAACTCACACCACATGGCTGCATGTAAGTCCACTTTAGAGTCCCTTTTCCAACACGCCTCCTGCTGCATTAATTAGGTCCACTTGCCTTCACTCCAAGTGCTCAGCAGCTCAGCCACACTCTACAATCAACAGCATTTCCAACACTCATAACAATGAAGAGTCCTTTAAAAAAAAATCCTGGATTCAGATGATGATCTGGATCAGCACCAAAATCTAATGGTTTGTTCCGTGGGCTCCAGCCTACCTTTCCAATATATTCCATCAAGCTCTATTTGTTACTTTTTGAGTTATGCTGTGAATAACCCAACCAAAAAACAAACCAACAGACACAATTTCTAGGGTACCCGTGAACTTCTGGGAATGAGGTTGATGATAAAGAGGCCAAACCCCTACCTATAATAGTGCACAAACACCCCAAATAGACACAGCAAACACAAGAAATCAAAATAAGTGGTGAATGTACAATTAATGCCACAATGCAAAGGAGGAAAAGATCACACTTGTTAACCAGACACACTATAGAATCTGTCAACAATGTAAAATATTTAATGCAAAATAACTTCTTAAAAAAGAGGCTTCAGTTTTAAAAATGAAAATGTTAAAACCTAGAAATATCTCCCTTAAAAATATCATGAAAGACAGTTTACCAGGATGATAAAACAGCACTGGCAGGTTTATAAAAATACAACAGAAATAATGTTCTAAGGCCACATGCATTTAATATGATGGGTGGCTGTATATACTGTAGGTGCTTTTATGTCACTTACATCTGTATAACTACTACATTTACCTTTTCTTGTAATACAGGATCTCATGTTGGTAAAGAAGACCCAGTCTTCACCCTTTTGCCTGAACAGATACAGCAAGCTAAAAACAGTAAGACAAGAAATAGTAATTAAAAAATTTAAACCATTTTTTTAAGCCTTTCTGGTTTAACTAACTGCAGCTTATCAACCTTATGTTGTCACCAGAAGCAGAACTACAGTCTAATAAATACATAAAAACAATTGTTAAAATCACCTCAAATCTAAACACACCTCCTGCTGGCTTTTCACTCTACTACAATTTACCTGATTGACTCAGCATGTGGCTGCTTTGTGTGTGTGTTACTCACATTACTCACCTACACTGTAGAGACTCAGCTTTCCTTGTGGGGACGAGATCCTGGGAGCGACCACTGACTTTATGGTGACAATCTGTTAAGATCAGGTTATGGTTAGGGTAAATGTTGCTGGAAGGGCAGGGTAAGTCATTTAGTTGATGGTTTATACCCTAACTGGGTGACTGTGCAGAAAAGGAACACATGAGTGTGAGCAAAGCAGAGAAGTAGCAGGTAGTAAGAGTGGGAAAACAGGACACAGATAAGGGGCTAGATCTGACAAGGGGGGGGGGAACAAGGGGCGGAGACAGGACTTTAACCTTAATTGTTACGTTCAGTCATGAACAAACAATGCATCTCTACTTAAGATTTTAAAGACATGGAAATTTATAAAGCAAGAATGGATGTCAAAAGTTAGGGTAAAATTAAAAAAAGAAAATCTGATTCAGACTCATGGTCCTGTCATCATTTCCCCTAAAACACCAAAAAAGCTAACAAACAAAGAGAACTCTACAGGCGCACTTCTTATATTTTATTCTTGATTTCCTTGTTTTGTTTTTTTTGTTTGCTTTTTTATTCATGCATCTATGTTACAGCTGACAGTCGTCTGAGAGGGCACTGTATGTGAGCTATAATACATAATAATTTCTCAAAGAACACATTTTCTGTGGGAAGGGTGCAAAGTGAGAAATAGAATAGTATATAAAGACACACATACACAGTGGGACATACTGTGGCAGCTATGAGTCAGTGAGCACTTGTTAGTGGTCAGG